AGATGCATGAAACTGATTGGTCGGGCAATGCCCGGGGTGATGGCTGAGTCTGGGACTTTTGGTTACTGTTACATTTTTGTTCAGGCTTGAGCTATGCAGGAGCAAAGAGAGAAGAGAGAAGCAAAGAGAAAAAGATTTTGGAGTGTGCTCTTGTTTCATAAACTGTTGGAGGAAGATTCTCCACATGGACAAAAAAATACCATTTTAAATCTCCCTAAAAGGACATTATGTCAGTTGATGCAGCTGATCATATTGCACATATATTGTTCTGAACTAAGAAGAGTAAACAACTTGCTCTTTACTGGCATGGCATATTTTCTTTCTCCGGCAAGGCAGTGTGTGGGCTGATCAAACGTGAACTACACATGGTTTATTTTACATTATGCCACATATTATTCAAGATACAGCTGTTACCAGAAAATAGCTTGGTCAAAATCGTTGTTTAAGCCCAAAATATGCATGTGTAAAATAATCCATCAACCAGACTCCCAGTTTCTTCAACTTCATCTTCAATTTCTTCTTTTCGTAATCCATATTAATTTTTCTGATAAGTGCTGGATGGTGGAAACCTAGAGATTATTTTGTGACCAAGTCTCTTCCTTACCCATCTCTGCATTGGGATTTATAGGAGGCAATTGGACCAAAAAAGGGCATTCTTCCATAAACATTAGTGAGCTGGATCTAAAGCTTGAGGTGTCCGTGTTCCCGTATTACGGTTTCTAATCGTAATGCAATCTTGTTCCTTCACATCCTACTTACTGTCTTGTCTCCTTAGCTTTTCCAGCCTGGCTTCTTCTTTTAATTCCTTGACAATTTTCCGCAAGGCATTTTGTGCAGTCGCCTGATTTATCTCTTCCCTCCATGCTGTAGATTTAATACGGTCTGGAAAATTTGCTGCCAGCTTGCAACCTATTTCAATCAGCTTGTCTTTATAACCCATCATGGGATTTGATCTTCTTCCAGATGATTATTTTAAAATGGAAGCGCCATTTATATGCAAATCCAGCTTTTCTTTAATGCGTCTGTAAAAGTATTCCATATTTTCTTTTGCTGCAGAATTTATGGTGTGAGATCTTCAAATACTTCATTCCCACTCACACACAAACGGGTTGGAAGAGACCACAAGGGCCATCCAGTCAACCCCATTCTGCCATGCAGGAAGACACAACCTAAGCACCCCCGATAGATGGCCATCCAGCCTGTTTAAAAACCTCCAGAGAAGGAGATTCCACCACAATGCATACTGTCTTAGGAATCATAGAATCATAGATTTGGAAGAGACCTCATGGGGCATCCAGTCCAACCATGCCAAAAAGCAGAAAAATCGCATTCAAAGCACCCCTGACAGATGGCCATCCAGACTCTGTTTCAAAGCCTTCAAAGAAGGAGCCTCCACCACACTCCGGGGCAGAGAGTTCCACTGCTGAACAGCTCTCACAGTCAGGAAATTCTTCCTCATGTTTAGGTGGAATCTTCTTTCCTGTAGTTTGAAGCCATTGTTCCATTGCGTCCTAGTCTCCAGGGCAGCAGAAGATAAGCCTGCTCCATCCTCCCTATGACTTCCCCTCACATCTTGATACATGGCCCTCATTGTCTCCTCTCAGCCTTCTCTTCTGCAGGCTAAACATGCCCAGCTCTTTAAGCCACTCCTCTTAGGGCTTGTTCTCCAGAACCTTGAACATTTTAGTCACCCTTCTCTGGACACACAGCTGCTTGTCAACATCTCCCATCAATTGCAGTGCTCAAAATTAGACACAGTACTCCAAGTGTGGTCTGACCAAGGCAAAATCCAGTATTGCAGGACTTCCCTGGATATTCCTAATATTCAGAAGGAATATCTTTTTCTGCAATTTGAATCCATTGCTCCATGTCCTACTCTCCACAGTCTCAAAGCTGTCATGTCCCCTCTCAGCCTTCTTTTCTCTAAGCGAAACAAGCTTTTAGCTGCTCTTCGTAGGGCATGGTCTCCAGACCTTTCATCATTTTAGTCACCCTCTTGCTAGACACATTCCAGCTTGTTAATATCCTTCTTGAATAGTGGTGCCCAAAACTGGACACAGTATTATTCCAAGTAAGGTCTGTCCAAAGCAGAAAAGACTGGGACTATGACTTCCCTCAATCTAGACCAGCGTTTCTCAACCTAGGGGTCAGGACTCCTGGGGAAGGGTCATGAGGGGGTTTGAGAGGGATCACCAGAGACCATCAGAAAACATATATTTCTGATGGTCTTAGGAACCCCTTTAGCAGAGAAGGCTGAAGATCTCTCCGGCTGTCCTTCTCTTCCTTTTTGGAAACAGATGGCGAATCCTCCCACCAAAAGCCCTCCTCTGCTGTGATTGGCCAACCTCTCAGCCAAGGGGAGGGCTGTTGAGACTCCAAGTGGGGAGGGGAGAGCAGGCGTGCTCGGTGCATGACCGCGTGGTGAGCATGTGTGGGTGAGGGAGAGTGTGTGAGGCTAGAGAGGCTCACACCAGCGAGTTCCTTCAAGGCATGGGGGTTACGTGTGGGAAGTTTGGCCAATTCTATCGTCGGTAGGGTTCAGAATGCTCTTTGATTGCAGGTGAACTATAAATCCCAGCAACAACAAATCCCAAATGTCAAGGTCTATTTCCTCCAAACTCCATCTGTGTTCATATTTAGGCATATGGAATTTTTGTGCCAAGTTTGGTCCAGATCCATCATTATTTGAGTCCACAGTGCTCTCTGGATGTAGGTGAACTACTACTCCAAAACTCAAGGTCAATGCCCACCAAACCCTTCCAATATTTTCTGTTGGTCATGGGAGTTCTGTGTGCCAAGTTTGGTTCAATTCCATCGTTGGTGGAGTTCAGGATGCTCTTTGACTGTAGGTGAACTATAAACTCCCAAATGACAAAATCAATCTCCCCCCAACCCCACCAGTATTCAAATTTGAGCATATTGGGTATTTGTTCCAAATTTGGTCCAGTGAATGAAAATACATCCTGCATATCAGATATTTACATGGCGATTGATAACAGTACCAAAATTACAGGTATGAAGTAGCTACAAAAGTAATTTTATGGTTGGAGGTCACCACAACATGAGGAACTGTATTAAGGGCAAGGTTGAGAAACACTGATATAGACAATACACTCATATTGATGCAGCACAGAATCACATCACATTAGGTTTTTTAGCATCATACTGCTGCTTCATGTTCAACTTATGCTCTACTAAGAACTCCCTAGATCCCTTTAATATTGGAAATTACAACCTTCTTCAAGTCTCCTCTAGTAATTTATTTATAATCCTGTTGCTTACTTATTGTATGTTCTGATATGCAGCTTTCTATACTTGCTCTGTTTTTTGAGAAGTTGTGGGAGGGGATGCTGACTACACAATACACTCTGAGACCAGCACAGACTTCTTTATATGTTGGGACTGCTCAGATCGTAGACTTGAAAACACTTGCCTGCTGTTTATTGTAGAGCAGTAGTTCTCAACCTGGGGTCCCCAGATGTTTTTGGCCTTCAACTCCCAGAAATCCTAACAGCTGGTAAACTGGCTGGGATTTCTGGGAATTGTAGGCCAAAAACATTTGGGGACCCTAGGTTGAAAACCACTGTTGTAGAGGGATGTTCTGACCTATGCTTGAGAAACTAACTCAAACATATCTGTAACTGACTGATAAGTTGTGTACCTGTATATGCTGAACATATGAAGGTTGTGAGTAAACCAAATAAGTTATTTTGACCAAAGTCTACTTTATTTTGTCTCTTGAGTGCATAATATAAAACAAGTTGTTTTATGGGAGAGTAGATATATATTTTGGGCACTGAAAAAACACTTTTGGAGAACTGCTATTTTTATGCAGTGGTATATTCTCTTGTTTCCTAACAGATCAGAGATACGGTTATTCAGTCTAACAACTGAAGCCAATTGCCTTGCATAATTACATTTGGTTGTATACCACTTAAGATTCTACTCAAATGGGTTTCTGGCTCTTCTCTAAAAGGTTATGATCTCTATAGGGTCATGCTTTTCTAAAATTTCATGCATACTGTTGTCAAGTCAAGTATCAGCCATCCTATATCTGACCATGATGGATGAAGCCAGTAAAGGTAAAGGTTTTCCCCTGACTCTGGGGGTTGGTACTCATTTCGATTTCTAAACTGAAGAGCCGGCGATGTCCGTAGACACCTCCAAGGTCATGTGGCCGGCATTACTGCATGGAGCACTGTTAGAGCTTAATCTGTGGCAGCTATATTAACTCATGGGATGGGCAATCTAAGAAGGGGCAAAGGAAAAAGTGGAAATCAACAAGAATAATGAGTTGGAGAGAAAGTTTGTCAAAAGACAAAACGAGGGGGTGGATATCTGGGACAGGCAGGAAAAAACAAGCAAGAAGATGACAGAGAAATAACTGGAAAGACCCAAGGAAATATCTTTCCATTTTCCTACACCCTCACGCATGCATTCATTTATTTCGAAAACTTAAAATGAATCTTTACATTCAAAATACCTCCAGTCAAGAAACCCTACTTTGCTGTTATTATGTGCCTTCAAGTCAGTTCTGATGTATGGCGGCCCTATCATGGAGTTTTCTAAGGCTCAGAGTATGTGACTTGGCAGTTTTGTTTTGTTTTTAATTGTATCAGGAGTGACTTGAGAAACTGGATGTTACCATTATGTGGGATGCTTCTCATGCTCTCACATGGAAAGCTGGAGCTGACAGACAGGAGCTCACCCTGTCTTGTGGATTCAAGCAGCTGACCTTCATTAAGCAAACTCTTGTCAGGACCACCTTCCATCTGGAAAACTATGTCCTCTGTGTGAAAAAGCATGCAGATCCAGACTAGGACAATCAATTACGGAACCACCGCCAGGACTCGGATAGGAGTGATAGTCTATGATATGATGGACAACTTGATGTTTGGCAAGACTGAACTGGGAAGCAAACATTTCCCACCCTGTTAGAACGACTGTGGCTCCTTTCTGGTGTGGGTTATTTGATGCTGCACCAGGTGAGAACTGAGCGCAAAGCATTTCCCACACTTCTGGCATTTGTACGGCTTCTCTCCAGTGTGGAGTTTTTGGTGGCCAGCCAATGAGGAATAAGCAGCAAAACTTCTCCCACACTCCTCACATTTGTAGGGTTTCTCTCCTGTGTGGACTCTCTGGTGGATCACAAGCTGTGAGCTGCGAGAAAAACACTTCCCGCAGTCCTGGCACTTCCATGGCTTCTCTCCCGTGTGGACTCGGCGGTGCGTCACGAGGGCCGACTTGTGCACAAAGCTGTTTCCACACTCCTCACACCTGAAGGGTTTCTCTCCCGTGTGCAGCCTTTGGTGCCTCAGCAGCGGTGCACTGAGAGCAAACCGCTTGCCGCATTCATGGCATTCGTAAGGTTTATCCCCTGTGTGGGTTCTCTGGTGATACACAAGGAGAGAATTCAAAATGAAACATTTCCCGCATTCCTGGCATTCGTAGGGTTTCTCGCCTGTGTGAAGAGAAGAGTGGTGCATGAGGATGGATTTCCGTGCAAATTTTTTCCCACATTCCTGGCATTCGTAGGGTTTCTCTCCAGTGTGGACTCTCTCATGCCTCACAAGTTCGGCCTTGGAAGCAAAATCTTTCCCACATTCCTGGCATTTGAATGGTTTCTCTCCCGTATGGAGCCTCTGGTGTGTCACAAGGTACGCCTTGTAACCAAAACCTTTCCCACATTCCTGGCACTTGTACGGTTTCTCTCCCGTGTGGGTTCTCTGGTGAGTTGCAAGATTGGAGCTATAAACAAAACGTTTCCCACACTCCTTGCACAGGTATGGTTTCTCCCCACTGTGGCCTCTCAGGTGCCTCACAAGTTCTGTCTTGGAAGCAAAACATTTTGTACACTCCTTGCACGCGTACGGCTTCTCTCCTGTGTGGACTCTCCGGTGCCTCACGAGATCAGACCCAGAAATGAAACCTTTGCCGCACTCTTGGCATTTGTACGGTTTCTCTCCGGTGTGGACTCTTTGGTGTATCAGGAGGTCAGCCTTGGAAACAAACCATTTCTCACAGTCCTGGCATTTGTACGGTTTCTCTCCTGCATGGATTCGCTGGTGTATCACAAGGTAGGACTTGGAAGAAAACCACTTCTCACATGTGTCACACTTGTACGGTTTCTCTCCTGTGTGGACTCGCTGATGGCTCGCAAGGTCTCCCTTGGAAGCAAAGCATTTCTCACAGTTCTGGCATGGAAAGGGTTTCTCCCCTGTGTGGACTCTCTCGTGTCTGATAAGGTAAGCTTTACGAGCAAAACATTTCCCGCACGTCTGACACTTCAATGGCTCTTTTCCACTCTGTAATCTCCCATCTCTTGAAAGGTCCGAACTGCCAACAAAATATTTCCCAGAGTTTTCATATTCAGATCGTTTTTTCTCATTGTGGACACTGCTGCGAACCAAAAGAGCCATCTTTTGGGCAAGATGTTTCCCCAAAATGATGGGGTCGTAAGTATTCCCTCTGCTATGACATTCTTCCTCCAGGTGGGTTCGCCAGTGTCTTGCAAGATCCAATCGGTGTTTGAAACACTTCTCACACTTGGTACAGAGGTATGTTTGGCTGCAGGTATCTGCAAGACATGGAATAGATATGGGAGGAAGGGAGGAAAGAGTGTTACATTATGCAAGAGTGTATAAGTTTAGAAATTTTGTGAATTGTTGGGCATCGAATTGTGCCTTTTGTAAGCTGCCCTGAGTCCCCCCTAGGGGGTTGAGAAGGGCGGGGTAGAAGCACTCCAAATAAATAAATAATAAATAAATTAGAAATTTTACTCAAAAATTGGCCCCCAAAACCTGGACAGATTTATCCATCGGGGTTTTTTAAATAAATAATAAATAATAAATTAATTAATAAATAATTTTTTTCCATGTCAGGAGTGACTTGCAGTCGCCTCTGGTGTGAGAGAATTGGCCATCTGCAAGGACACTGCCTAGGGGACGCTGCACGGATGTTTTGATGTTTGACTATCCTTGTGGGAGGCTTCTCTCATCTCCCCGCATGTGTCCCCAGGTGTTTTGGCCTACAGCTCCCAGAAATCCCAGGCAGTTTACCAGCTGTTAGGATTTCTGGGAGTTGAAGGCCAAAACATCTGGGATCCACAGGTTGAGAACCACTGATAAGTATTTCATCTTCACTATTGGCAAGAAAAGGAACCATCCCCTTCTCTGACTGGTGGAAGGGGTGAACATAGACCACCCCAAGGGAACCTAAATGAAACCAGTATTTTTCTTTTAAAAAACTCTAAAATCAACAGTAAATAAAGAACAATACTCAAAAACGGGAATTCCAGACAAGAAACAATCAGGACCAGATAATGACCTCCCAACTAAGTATTCCCCCAGGCCGTAAGCAGCCAGACCTTGAAGCTGCAAAACCATTAAATGCTAATCAAGGTGGCCAATTGCAACATTCATACCTTTTGTTCATAAACTCCTTGATTGAATTGCTGGCATTTTCTAGCATTTTCCTTGTGGGTGCTTAAATACCTCCCAGCTTTGAAAGCGGTACCTATTTATCTACTCACAATTGCTGTTTTCGATTTGCTAGGTTGGCAGGAGATGGGCTGAAGGCCAAGAGCTCACCCTGACCCAGGCTTATAATTGCCAACCTTCCAATTAGGAAGACTTACTAAAGCTGGCGGTTAACCTGCTGTGCGAAAGCACAGATAAATAGCGATTCTTCAATTTTTCTCCTCTATTGATTTTTCCTGGTTCTTATTGTATACATAATATACAATGTTGCATATTAAGATTTCACAGATGCACTACTACAAGAAGGCATATGAAAAGACCAGAGTAAGGAGAGTGTGTTTAGGCATTGCCAGGTGGATTTTACATCAGGATAGTGTTAATCTGTCTTACCCAATAAATGGCCTGATCTGATTTTGGAATTTTCCACTTCACCCCAGTCCTGGGCATCGGGCACCCACAGCTCTCTCTTCTGCTCCATCTGGGAAATGAGCTCTGGCTTTGGGACTGGAATTCAAAGGGAAGAAAAAATACAACACTAAGACAGAATTGGGACTAATCAAGAAAGCTGCACAGTACCTGTCAAGGAATTTTTAATATATATGTATGTATATACCCTTGCACTTGGGCTCTTGAGGAGCCATATGATTTGCTAGTGGTTTCCTTTCTTCTTAAATGGGAAGAATATCATAGAAAATTGCCTTGCCATCATTCCAGTTGCCACAAAGTAAATGGCAAGACTATTCATCTTGGACCCGAAATACATCATTTTATTTATTTATTTATTTATTTATTTAAGTAGACATACATTTGCAAGTGTTTGTTGCGTACAGTGCAATACTTTTTATCTATTAATGTTCCATAATCCATCCCATCACCCAGGAGAAGACCTAACATACCATAGATAAGACAGCAAGGGGTTTTTGCACTAGATCTCAGGCAACAAAATGTCTGTAGGTGATTCTTACTCCAGCTGAGCCCGTAGATAATGGCAGATGTATGCGAGAATGGAACAAACACCTTCCTTATTTACTTACTTACCAAGAGAGGATATGTTCTCATAGTTCTCCATCATCACCTCTCTGTATAAAGCCATTTGTTTTGGATCCAGAAGGTTCCACTCCTCCTTAGTGAAATATACAGCCACATCCTCAAAGGTCACCGGTTCCTGAAAGCATTAAGCAGCCCACACTTGCGTGACACATCATGTCTTAGCAAAGATCATACCAAACATGCCTCGCTGGTTTTTCCTCAGCTTCTAACGTATGGTAGCATAGACTATAGATCCGAGCAGGGTGGCCTTTTGCAGCTGACAGATGGTGATTTTGTCAACGCCGATTGTTTTTACGTGCAGGCCAAGGTCTTTATGCACTGCACCCAGCATGCCCATCACCACTGGGACCACCTTGGCTGTCTTGTGCCAGAGTCTTTGCAGTTCAATCTTTACATCCTTATATTGTGTAAGCTTTTCCAGTTGCTTCTGGTCTGCACACATGGGACTGATAAAATATTGAATTTGTGGTGTATGACACAACAACCAAAAATATATTTTAAATAGCTGCAATGTTAAAAAAGAGGTTTTTTTCTCATTACAGGTACTTCTTCTATATAAATAAAAATGTAATGTTCATTTGTGGGATTAACATAACTCAAAAACCACTGGACAAATTGACACTAAATTTGGATACAACACATCTATCAGGCCAACGAATGACCATCACTCATAAAAGCACTGAAAAACACAGAGGAAGAGACTTAAAAAGCCAAAAAATAAAAATACATTACAATGCATTCACACACATATATCTATATAGCAAACACACATATATACACAAAAATATACACAAAAAAACACACATATGCACAGACTGGGCCACAGCAACACGTGGCAGGGGACAGCTAGTATTAAATAGACAGTGAAAGACCCTGTGATGTTTCTCAACATATATCTAATATATTAGGGTTAACTGGGGCAATATATTTGGTTCTTAACTAAGCATAATAAAGGTAAATTCGACTCTGACTCTGGGGGTTGGTGCTCATCTCCATTTCTAAGCCAAAGAGCCAGCGTTGTCCGTAGACACCTCCAAGGTCATGTGGCTGGCATGACTGCATGGAGAGCCGTTACCTTCCCACCGGAGGAGTACCTATTGATCTACTCACATTTGCATGTTTTTGAACTGCTAGGTTGGCAGAAGCTGGAGCTAACAGCAGGAGCTTACCCCATTCCACAGATTCAAACCACCAACCTTTTGGTCAGCAAGTTCAGCAGCTCAGTGGTTTAACCCACTGCACCACCGGGGGCTCCTAACTATGCATGCAATGACTGAGAAAGGATTGCCTCCTCCTCCATCTATGAATCAATAATGTCAGATTCCCTCATGCAAAGCAGGCTGGAAGTTCAATGACAGGAAGAGTGTGGATACTGACCTGAACGAAGGGTATCTTTCCTGGCATTTCCATTACTGCTTTCTCCAAGGAGAAGGGTTTTGACCGAGACCAGCTTTTCTCCTGAAGACTAGAAAGCCCAAGACCCTCTCGAGAGGCACGCAGCACCTGCAGAAGACATCGATGAAGGACTTGTTCAATGTGTGGAAATTGTTATCCTCCTTTTGGTTCTTGGTTCACTACAGGATGAATATGCTCGATGTGAAATGCTTGGGACCAGAAGTGTTTTAGATTTTGGGATTCCTGTATTTGCATATATACACTAAGTCCCCGAGGTACAGACTCCCTTGTTGGGAGGTGTTAGCTGGCCCTGATTGTTTCCTATCAGGAATTCCCCTGTTTTTTGAGTGTTGCTCTTTATTTACTGTGCTGATTTTAGAGATTTTTTTTTTAATACTGGTAACCAGATTTTGTTCCGACATAGGATTCCCCCAGGCAGGAAGCAGACAAGCTTTGAAGCTGCCAGACTATTTAATGCTAATCTAGGTGGCCAATTGCAACATTCACACTTGCTTCAAGCAGAGTTCTTTCTTCCACCCTGGATATTCCACAGATATATAAAACCAATGTTCCTAGTTTCCAACAGACCTCACAAACTCTGAAGATGCCTGCCATAGGTGTGAGCAAAACGTCAGGAGAGATTGCTTCTGAAACATGGCCATACAGCCCGGAAAACTCACAACAACCCAGAAAATAATATAGTAGCTTGGTTAAAAATAGTATAGGCCCAAGTAAAACAATATTTTGGTTACTAAAACTATGCAGTAAAAATATGAAATTAGCAATATTTCAGTTGGTCTTATTGGTTTGTTTCTAGTTGTTTACCTTTTGTTGCTGAGCAGGTTGTGTTGTTGGATTGTAATAAAGTTTTGATTGATTGAATATTTAAAACATAAGCTGTTATTAATGTCTTAGCTTTTTATAGCATTCTATTGTAATTTTCTCCTGGAAACCAATATTTTTAGACCCAGACTGCCACTGGATTCAAGTCTGAATAGGACATTAATATTTGTTTCATATACACTTCGTCAGAAAGTAATCTTGTGTATTACTTTTATTAATGTTATTCATGAAACCAAGGTTGTGCATTCTGAACTATCACAACACCAAGGTGTCATTCTCTCAGATGTCAATGTGGACAATTTGGGATTTCGAAGTATTGGGCCGCAGTGGTGCAACGGGTTAAAACATTGAGCTGCTGAACTTGCTGATCGGAAGGCTGGCAGTTCGAATCCGCAGGACAGGAAGAGCACCCAGTGTTAACCCTAGCTCCTGCCAACCTAGCAGTTCAAAGAACATGTAAATGTGCGTAAATAGGTACCACCTCGGCGAGAAGGTAAATGGCGCTCCATGCAGTCATGCTGGCCACATGACCAGGAGGTGTCTACGGACAGCACTGGCTCTTCGGCTTGGAATTGGAGATGAGCACCATCCCCCAGAGCCAGAGATGAAGGGGAAGCCTTTGCCTTTGTCTGTGTATTTGTATTTCAGTGTTTCAAGGAACTGAATGTTTGCCTCTGTCTGTATATGCTGGAATCTGGCCTGAGTCCCTTCGGGGAGACAGAGCGGAATATAAATGAAGTGTTGTTGTTGTTGTTTTCGGATAAGAGAGGCTCAACCTGTACCTCCCTTCCCAGAAGAAAACTTCTTGAAATGCCAGAAAACCTCCTACCTGAGCTGTTTCTGCATCAGCCCTTTTCTCTCCCTTTCTTTTCATCCTTTTGGATTTGAGAGGAAAACTCAACTGTGCATCCTGCAAAGTGGAGAAGAAAGAGATAAAGAAAGAAAAAAGATTTCAAAGAGGAACCATTTCTCTATTGAAAATACCGACTGACTTGGAATAAGAGACCCATGGCAGAAACCCAAGACTGAAGTGCCAGTGAGCAGCACAGATGCCCCATTCTGTCCAAAACTCATGTTGCTCATAGACTCATAGAATCATAGATTTGGAAGAGACCTCATGGGTCATCCACTCCAACCCCCTGTCAAGAAGCAGGAAAACTGCATTCAAAGCACACCCGACAGATGGCCATCCAGCCTCTGCTTAAAAGCCTCCAAAGAAGGAGCCTCCGCCACACTCCAGGGCAGACTGCTAAACAGCTCTCACAGTCAGACAGTTCTTCCTCATGTTCAGATGGAATCTGCTTTCTTGTAGTTTGAAGCCATTGTTCTGCGTCCTAGTCTCCAGGGCAGCAGGAAATAAGCTTGCCCCCTCCTCCCTATGACTTCCTCTTACATACTTATACATGGCTACCATGTCTCCTCTCAGCCTTCTCTTCTGAAGGCTAAACATGCCCGTCTCTTTAAGCTGCTCCTCATAGGGCTTGTTCTCCAGACTCTTATCTTGCATTTGTCACTGTTGAACTACATTTCATTAGTTTTGGTCAATCATATCTCTAATCTGTTAAGATCGTTTTGAATTCTGCTCCTGTCCTCTGGAGTATTGGCTCCCCCCAAGCACATACAAATATACATACACACTTCCATATGCACAATATACATACATACATATAAAAACACAAATATACAAATATACACACATATACACACACATATATATGCAAACTCACATATGTTACTTCCTTCCTTAGGCGATCCCTCGTAGTCTGAGGATGATGGTCCTCCAAGTTCGGTGTTCTGGCGGTGGGTCCGTAGGTGACTGTGGAGCCCTATTCTTGATCTGCATCTTCTCTCACAGTGAGGGCATTGGTTTCCAGGTGGAAGGCGGTCCCAGTCGGGGTTGGCTTGACACACCTTCCTCTTAGCACGTTTCTCTCTTTCGCCCTCCATTCATGCCTCTTCAAATTCTACAGCACTGCTGGTCACAGCTGACCTCCAGCTGGAGCGCTCAAGGGCCAGGGCTTCCCAGTTCTCAGTGTCTATGCCAGAGTATTTAAGGTTGGCTTTGAGCCCCTCTTTAAATCTCTTTTCCTGTCCTCCAACATTCTGTTTTCCGGTCTTGAGTTTGGAGTAGAGCAACTGCTTTGGGAGACGGTGGTTGGTCATCCAGACAACGTGGCCGGTCCAGCAGAGTTGATGGCGGAGGACCATCGCTTCAATTCTGGTGGTCTTTGCTTCTTCCAGCATCCTGACATTTGTCCGCTTGTCTTCCCAAGAGATTTGCAGGATTTTTCAGAGGCAGTGCTGATGGAATTGTTCCAGGAGTTGCATGTGACATATGTAGACTGTCCACGTCTTGCAGGCATATGGAAGGGTTGGGAGGACAATAGCTTTATAAACAAGCACCTTGGTATCACTACGGATGTCCCGGTCCTCAAACACTCTGTGCTTCATTCAGAAAAATGCTGCACTCGCAGAGCTCAGGCAGTCACACATATACACAAATATACACACACACAAAACACATATACACAGACTGGGTCACAGCAATGCGTGGCAGGGGATGGCTAGTAAAAAATAAAAAATGCAAAACATCAAAACAATACAAAAACAAACCAATTTCAAACAAAACCCCTGTTTTTAAAATATTATGTCTATTCTAATAGTTCTGTTCTACTACTTCTATGCTACTAGTTGCATCCATTTCTGCTAAATGTACATCACATCAACCTATTTAAAATCAACACATACTCACAATACAAGGTCAACACCTGGCTGCTCCTGACACCTTTTCTGCCTCTCAAGGGTCCTCTGTTCTCTGGCTGTCTCTTGGGAAGGAAGGAAGGAAAGAAGGAACCCCTTTCTTGCTGCATCCTTTCTCCTGCATTCCTTCCTAATGGCCTTGACTTCCGCTTCCGGTCACGTATTTGAAGCCAAAATAGTTCTGGCAAGGGAAGCTTGTAGCCTGCCACCTAGAGAAGGTTTGGTGCATTTCTTCCTCCAGGCTCAATTGGGAGAGGAAAAATGGGAGRAACCAACCTTTAAAGGTAAAGGATTTSCCCTGACACTCAGTCCRGTCTTGTCCGACTCTTGGTGCTCATCTCAATTTCTAAGCCGAATAGCCGGCGCTGTCTGTCGACACCTCCAAGGTTTTCGAACTGCTAGGTTGGCAGAAGCTGGGGCTAACAGCGGGAGCTCACGCCGCTCCYTGGATTCRAACCTGCGACCTTTTGATCAGCAAATTCAGCAGCTCCACCGTTTAACCCACTGGGAGTTGGTACTCATCTCAATTTCTAAGCCGAACAGCCGGCGCTGTCCGTCGACACCTCCAAGGTTTTCGAACTGCTAGGTTGGCAGAAGCTGGGGCTAACAGCGGGAGCTCACGCCGCTCCCTGGATTCAAACCTGGGACCTTTTGATCAGCAAATTCAGCAGCTCAACCGTTTAACCCAMTGGGAGTYGGTGCTCATCTCAATTTCTAAGCCAAAGAGCCGGCGCTGTCCGTCGACACCTCCAAGGTTTTCGAACTGCTAGGTTGGCAGAAGCTGGGGCTAACAGCGGGAGCTCATGCCGCTCCTTGGATTCAAACCTGTGACCTTTTGATCAGCAAATTCAGCAGCTCAGCCGTTTAACCCACTGGGAGTTGGTACTCATCTCAATTTCTAAGCCAAAGAGCCGGCGCTGTCTGTTGACACCTCCAAGGTTTTCGAACTGCTAGGTTGGCAGAAGCTGGGGCTAACAGCGGGAGCTCACGCCGCTCCCTGGATTCGAACCTGCGACCCTTTCATCAGCAAATTCAGCAGCTCCACCGTTTAACCCACTGCGGCACTGGGGGCTCCATCTCAGGTCTAATGTGTTCTAAAGGTCGTTTATTTATAATTTTTGGCATTTTTCTTGTATCCTATCACCGTACCTCCTTCTCTGCCTCTCCGATCTCGCCCCTGAGGACTGCAGTGAAGCGGTGCAGCACACGTGTGTGAGATCTGAGAGGCAGAGAAGGAGGTACGGTGATAGGAAAATTACCATATTGAAATCAAATCTGGTGTTTTTAACATTTTTATTTGGTTTGCATTGGAAGAGGAGTAGTCTTATATGGTGAGTATATCCAAACTCTATATTTTAACTGGAAAAGTTGGGGGTCGTCTTATACACCCAGTCATCTTATACACTGGAAAATACGGTATCATGATAATAAAAGCAATTGTAACTGCATCACTGGTTTTGCCATCTTTTTGGCACCCACAGACCCCCATGAGTTTTGTTGTTTCTTCTTTTTTCCTTCACACTTGATTGTTGCTGGCTTGGGTTTTAAAACTGTGCTTTTGGAGAGGTTGAGGTGACAGTGCTTTAAAGAGGATTATAAACGCATGGGAGGAGCGGGCATAGGGGTAAAGCCTGTGTTGGACAAGGTTACACTCCCCCTGAAGATGCAGGTTCGCAGCTTGGGTGTGATCTTGCATTCATCGCCGAGCCTGGAACCCCAGATTTTGGCCGTGACCAGAGGAGCATTTGCACAGTGGCAGCTGCGCCCGTACCTTGGGATGGGAGACCATAGTTAATAATGGATGTTGCAGGGTTGGTGGGCAGGAAAAGATATTTAAAGATGTGCTCAAAGCCAACTTTAAAAACTGTGGCATAGACACAGAGAATTGGGAAGCCCTGGCCCTTGAGCGCTCTAGCTGGAGGTCAGCTGTGACCAGCAGTGCTGTAGAATTTGAAGAGGCACAAATGGAGAGCAAAAGAGAGAAACATTCAAAGAGGAAGGTGCATCAAGCCAACTCAGACAGGGACCGCCTTCCATCTGGAAACCGATGGCCTCACTGCAGGAGAACATGCAGATCAAGAATAGGGCTCCACAGTCACCTACGTAGTCACTGCCAGGACACCGAACTTGGAGGACAATCTTACTCGGCCAATGAGGGATTGCCTAAGTGGGTAACCAGGGTATATTTCAGAGGAAGGCACTACCAAAACTACCTCTGAGGATGCTTTCCCAAAGGAAATCTCAAATGAATGAAAGTTCTACATAAGCCCTTTTACTGTGAACCAAAAACATCAGGTTCCTGCAAGCATCAGGTTTTCCCCAAAAGGAAAAGAAAGGAAGCCATTCACATTACAAATATTTGGATGCTCAATACTCCTGGGGGAAGGAAAGGGCAAAAGTACTCTATTACAATGGCATAATTTAATAATAATAATAATAATAATAATAATAATAATAATAATAATAATAATAATAATGTACTTTATTTATATTCCACTCTATTTCCTGGAGGGAAGTCAGGGCGGATTCCAGAACACATATACGGCAAACATTCAATGCCATTACACATTCAACAAGAACTGACAACATATAAACAGAGGTAAAGGATTTTCCCATTTTTCCCCATTTCCAGCATCTGGAGGCTGCGCTCGACTCCAGCCACAGGGGGTGCTGTTGCTCTGTCTTCCATGCTGAGGAGCTTTTTGTCATCCGCTGACGTCCTCCCGATCGAATCACTGGCATGTCCTTATGGGCACCTTTTTATTACCTTTCTGCTTAAAGCGGTACCTATTTATCTACTCACATTTTGGGTTTTTTTATTTTTAGTTTAATCTTTATTAACTTTCCAATAAAACAATACAAAGCTTACTATGAGAAAATTTATAATGTGAAAATAACTAAAAAAGAAAAATCTAGAATTAGAAAAAGGAAGAAAGGGAAAAGAATCAGGAAAAGAAAAAGGGGGGGGAGGGAAGAAAAAATAAAACGCACACACACACATGCACTTCAATTATTTCCTTCTAGTCCTTTGTGGCCATTATCTTGCTTATTCAATTAAAATCAATTAAGGAATGGAAACTATTTTCTGGAAGGTAAGAGGGGGAAGAGATAAAACAAGATAACACACAGAGATATTCAATTATCACTACCTCTGAGGATGCTTGCCATAG